CTGCCAGAGAACAAAGCCAAGCTGCCTCTGCCCAGATTCCCGCTGACCTTCACCTTCCCTTCTGCACGGGCACCAGCTTCTTGCCAGTCCTGAGTAGGGCGAGCGCGGGGAGCCTCCTCCTCTCTCTCTGGGTGAAGCAGAGCCCGCAGTTCCCAGGCCTCTCCCGTGCCTCCAGGCCCTGACTGCTCCATGCATACACGTGGCTGTGCCCCACACTTGCTGCCTAATCCTTGCTCTCTGCCCTTTCCGTGGGCCATAGAAGAGCCGGCAATCTGGTTACCCTGACGGTGAATCGATCACCTCTCTGCTGCCTCAAAACCTTCCAGGGCTCCCCGTGGCTCCGAGATTAAAGTCTATATTCTTAGGCTTGCCTGTCAGGCTTTGCACAAATTGGTCCCTAAGTTTGTTTTTCAGTCTGCATGCGCTCCATCCTACAGGCAGTACAAGTTCCAGAATCTCTATTTTTCAAGAGACTGGCAGTGAATTCTGGTTACAGCTCTGTAGGGAGGCTTGACTTGGATTCCTGTAAGTGACCGCAAGCATGGCTGTGCTTTTCTCTTTTCTGCACCCATATCTTTATGGAAATACGCGCGCGTGCACACACATACACACACACACGACACTTTCCCAACCTCTATTCTACCATCTAACTGAATAGGACACCTTTACCCTGGTCACATAACCAAGAACCTTTCACAGCATTTTGGTTGAACTTTTTTGGCAAGATCTTACTATGTGGGGACTGGGGGTTTAGCTCAGTGGCATAAGCACCTGCCTTGCAAGCAGGTGGTTGTGAGTTCGATCCCTGGTACCGATAAAAAGGAAAAAGACCAAAAAAAAAAAAAAAAAAAAAAAAAAAAGATCTTACTATGTAGCCCAGGCTGACCCCAAACCTGCAATTCTGCTTCAGTCTCCCAAGTTCAGGAATACAAGCATGGACCACCACACCTGGCTCCTTGGATGACTCTTCCTCCTCCTCCTTCTTCTCTTTCTCTTGTTCCCTCTTCTTTTTTTTCCCTTGGACTTCTTTACAGTGCTTATTCTCTGTGGAGAGCCCTCCCTGTCTTTCCCTTGGAGCCAAATAGTGGGAAGATCTGGGGGGAAAAGCTCCCCAAAAGTGAGGCAAATCAAGCAGCCACTGCTGCCACTTGTCAGTGTCTTGTCTGTGTGAATTTGGGCAAGACACTTTTCCAACATGGGCCTCCGTTTACCCACTATACAGTAGGATGTAGGAAAAGATATTCAAATAAACATAAAAGAGGAAGCTAGATCTCTCCTTCCACCCAAGGTCCAAGGTCCAATCTGACCTTGGTCCGGTGAAAGAGTGCCCCCAAGTCCTTTATTTTACATTTATGTGCATTTATTTGCATGTTCATATGAGGCACCAACTACGGTGCATTCATAGAAACAACTGAGACTGTTGTCTGATTGATGCCCAGTGATGGAAAAGACGCACCAGCTCACGGTTCCATGCAAATCTCAGCTGTCACGGCCTTCAGTCATTTACCTTTCAAGGACCTCCTCTTACAGATGGGTAACTGAAGCTCAGAGATGGAAAGTGACCAGCCTAGGGTAACACAGCAGGTGAAGAGCCAAGGCTTCATCCCACACTTTCCTCTGTGTGCCAGGAGCTGGTACTAAGTACCTTGTTTCTCTCTCCATGCAGGAGGAAGAAGGGGGGCTTGGTTTTCTTGAGAAGCCCCCCTCTTGCCCCAGAATAACAAAGCTGGCTAGAGAGGCAGCCTCCCGCAACCCCACAGGAAACCAAATTGTTGTAGAAAAGCAGGTGGGAGTGGAAAAATCCTCTGAGAGGTTACAGTTTTGCTTTTACCTGTTCTAAAAATAGCCCTGGTTATTAGAGGTTGATAGATGAGAGATAATACTCGGGTTATCCCACGGGGAGCCAGGAGAGGGGAGGGGGCTGAGTCTGCCACAGATGGTGGCAGAGAGCGGGCGGGCACCGAGCTGGGCTGGACTCTAAGTACAGCAGGGAACCTTGTCTTTGGAGGGGCAGACAGACAGCAAGCACAACAGACAAAATAACTGCCGAGAGGGACTAGCGGAGGTCAAGATCATCCGGGAGGCCAACTTAACCAAGATGAGCTGGGAGCCGCTCTGGGAAGCAGCCAGCCCTGCAGACGTCCAGGGGAAGGGCAAGGCATCTCAAGGACAGAGCTGGACAGCCGGGGGAGGGGGCATGGATTTGCAGGAGGAGGTGAGAAGCAGGTAGTGTCTGATCCATGCAGCTTGGAGATCTGGCTCCCAGATCAAGGGAAGTCCTCTGGGCAGGACTTTCTGCAGGGCAGTGTGGCGTGTGGGGTCCTTTAAAGACATGTGCTCTTGCCTGCTAGTTGGGCTCGGGACTTGGGGATGAGTGACAGGAAGGAACAGTCAGACAGCGATGGACCCTGGAGTCCAGGCAGCCCAGACGGAGATCTGCACCAAGCTGGGCAAGAGCAAACCAAAGGACCTGATGTCTTCAGAATTATTCAAGCCTCACAAGAGCTGTAGACGAGTTGGATTGTGTGGCGTGAGGGTACCCAGGATCTTGGCCTGAGTATTTGCTGGAGGCTATGCCAGGCCTGAGTGGGGACCTGCAGGAAGGGGCAGGAGGGGCGAGTGTGGGACTCTGGTTTGGGGTCCGTTAGGTTGGAGCAGTCTACAGATTGCCAAGAACCTGCACCAGAGCAGCGTGAAGCCTGTGCAGCTAAGGGCCATCGGGGTTAGCCCAGTCCAGTGGGTTAACCAGTTTTGCAAAATTGCTAAGTTGTGCAGGCTGGTCTCAAGCTTGGAATCCTCCTGCCTCAGCCATCCAGAGCGCTGGGCATGTGCCGCCACACCGGGCTGCTCCACCCTTCGTGTGTGTGTGTGTGTGTGTGTGTGTGTGTGTGTGTGTGTGTGTGTCTAAGTGGCCCTCAGAGCACAAGAATCAGGGGACCTGTCTTGCTGCTGCCCACACTACATAGCCACAGCGTCCCTGAGGCCTCCTCATTCCTCCAGGTTCCACTTCCTGCCCAGGTTTGGAGTGGAGAGAGACTCCACAGGCCACCCCCGCCATACTCTGTGTCAACGTCATCAGCAACTATAATGAGAAGTTTGTTTATTGAGCACTTACTCTATGACAATTGATTGATCAGTTAACCATCACAGTGACTTTTTAAAAAATTTTTTATCGGTACCAGGGATTGAACTCACGACTGCTTGCTTACAAGACAGGTGCTTATGCTGCTGAGCTAAATCCCCAGCCCCCCCCATCACAGTGATCTTAAAAAGTAGTTGTTGCCCCACTTCACACACATGGGAAACAGGCACAGAGAAGTTATGTGAGTTGCCTGTGGCCACACAGCCAGTGACAGAGCAGGATATGACCCCAGAGCCTTACTCCTGACTGGCATGCTTTGAACGCTGCAATCAATTGTGTGACACATATCTGCTTGTTTATCTGTTTCCTTAAAAACAAGGATAGAAAGCTGCGTGCCTGGCGGTGCACACCTGAAATTCCAGCTCTGTGAGTGAGACAGGATACTGAGGCAGGAAGATCAGAAGTTTGAGCTCATTCTGGGCAACTTAGAAGAGAGACCCTGTCTCAAAAGTAAAAACTTTAAAAGGGCTGGAGATGCGGGTCAGTAGTAGAGCGTTGGCCTACCGTGTACAAGGCCCTGGGTCCAGCCCTCAGTGTTGGGGTGGGCCGGACTGAGGTCCAGAGGGGCTAAGGAACTTGCCTGAGTCACCCAGCAAGGAGCTGGTGGAGATGGAACCATATAAAGCCCAGGCCCGACAGACAGGAAGCCAGGAAAGATGTCTCAAAGCTCACGCCCAGTGCTGCAGGACTGAAGGTCCTGCTGGTCCCCGGTTATTAATCACTCCCTGCTCCAAGGGCGGATCCTTGAAGACAGGGCTGCTTCCCATTCTCCCAACCCTCAGGGTCTAACACCTTTTCAGGCCAGGAAACTCTTCCCTGTCACCCCCAACGCTGCCCCTACCCTACCCCAGGCCACTCCCCTCCCTGACCCCCTCAAGGGTCCTGGAGGAAGCATCCGGCTGTCATTGTGAATCTGCAGGATTCGGACCTGCAGCTGGAGCCATGGGCAGGAAGCGGTCACAATGGATGAAAGACCCTCTGTGCCCAGGTGGGTGGGGGTGGGGAGGCAGGAAGCCAGAAGCCTCCTGCATGGGGCGCTGGAGGGAGGCCTGGGATGCCTGAAGCTGCGGGGTTTGTTTGGATTCCCCAGGGATCCAAGCTGGGGAGCTCTTTGCAAACATCAGACCTGCTCTTCCCCATGGGGTGCCAGGCCTTGGGCCTATGCGACAAGAATGCTGCTTTCATTCATCCCCAGGGTCCCCAGGGCTGTTTGTCCCCAGCAGCCAGGATTGGCTACTCCATCGGGGCTTGATTGGTTGAATATAGACAATTAATTGGGCACTGCTAATAACTGAGGAACTCAGTGTTATACAGATTTTTCTTTTTTTTTATATCGGGGCTCGAACTCACAACCTTGAACTTGCCAAGCAGTCACTTGTGCTGCTGAGCTAAATCCCCAGCCCTTTTTACAGATTTCTTATAGAAAAAAAAATAAAACGTGTTCTCAAGGATTCCGTTCCCTGCTTTGAACTTTGGCACATGCTGTTCCCTCTGCCTGCTTGCTCTTCCTTCTGCTGTTTGCAAGGTCAGCTCTTCTCAGCCTCCAGCTACGATTCAAATAAAGCTCTTTCATCAACCTTTGGGTGCTGCTGTGTCCTGCTATCTCCGCTCCTGTGCTCCCTCTAGCCCCGCTCTCTTGATTTCCTTCCCAGCACTTCTCATAGCCAGAATCCTCCTGATCCATATCTGTGCCTCTGTGTTCTCTTCCCGCTTCTCCCGCCAGTCTGTAAGCTCCCTGCTGCACTCCAGCACCAGGAGCAGGACATTGCTGCCCACAGAGTTAAGCAGCTGACGGATGAACAGGAATCCCTGCAATGCCGCTGAACCCAGTGCTCTGCAAGAGAGCCAAAGAGGAGCTGGGGATGTGGCTCAGGGGTAGAGCTCTTGCCTTGCATGTAGGAAACCCTGGGTTTGATCCCCAGCACCCCCAGAAAGAAAGAGAGAGAGAGAGAGAACAGAAGATTGAAGTCACTTCAGGGCTTTGCTTCCTGTGTGACAATTACTGAGCTTCATCTGTGTGTGTACGTGAAGGGAAGCCGTGCATGGGAATGGCCACTGTCTGTCCAGCTTGCTACAGTGGACCCTGGGGTGGACCGAGCTGTTTCATCAAAACTGTTCCTTTTAAAGGTGGAGCCAGGAGTGGTAGTGCACAGCTGTAATTCCAGCAGTCAGGAAACTGAGGCAGGAGAACTGCAAGTTCCAGGCCAGCCTGGTCTACAAGGTGAGACCCTGACTCAAAAAACAAAACAAAATAAAACAAAACTGGGCATGGTGATGCCTGCCTGAAATCCCTGTACTTTAGGAGGCTGAGGAGGAAGAACTGCAGGTTCAAACCCAGCCTAGGGGGCTGGGGATTTAGCTCAGCAGCATAAGCGCCTGCCTTGCAAGCAGGCGGTCGTGAGTTCGATCCCCGGTACTGATAAAAAGGAAAAAGACAAAAAAAAAAAAAAAAAAAAAAAAAAAACCAGCCTAGGCAATGCAGTAACTTAGGGACACTGCTTCAAAAATTTCTTTAAAAAGGTCTGGGGATCTGGGAATGTAGCTCAGTGTGAAGGCCCTGGGTTCAGTCTCCAGTATTGCAAATCAAACAAAAGGTAGGAAAATCAAGACCCAGAAACACTGAGGTGTGTCATATAAATCCAGAGATTTACCAGCAGACAGTTCAGCTGAGCTACTGGTTCCTTGAGTCCTGACACATTCATTCATTCGTTCGTTCATTCCTTATCACTCACTGTTCGTTTATTCACATGGACAGTACTTACGGAGCACCTGTCGTGTATCTGGTACTATGCCGGGAACTAGAGATACAGAAATAACCAGGAGCCCAGGGACTCCGAGGAGCTAGGTAAAAGGCCCAGCTCACCTGACACAGAACTACTTGGGTGACCCATAAGGGAGGTGGGCAGGGGAGAGAGCTCCTGGGGAGGGAGGAAGAAAGGACTTCATTTGTGAAAGATTAAACGGGTGCCAGACAGAGAGACTTCACCATGGAGGAAAATGTTAACTATGACTAAGAAACCAGTTAGCCAAGATCAGCAACCCTGCCTGTGAGCTTCCGCCACAGCCTGGTTGGATCGGTTCCCAGAAATTTTGTCCCTTCCAGCGGAGCAGTTTGTGCCGCCTCAGTGGCGTGGGACCCAGTCTCAGAGAAGGCCAAGGCTGTTCCCACTCAGGAAACACATCTAGGCACCTGCTATAGCTGCGCTCGGTACTGGCCCCCGGGGTTACCATGGGAAGGAGGCTTTGTCTTAGTTCCTGCTGCTGTAACAAAGTGCCAAAGACCAAACCCAGTGTGGTGGCGCCTGCCCATAATCACAGCACTCCAAGAGGCTGAGGCAGGAGGATCTCAGGATCGACTCCAGCCCGGGCAACTTAACTTTCTAAGAGCCTAAAACAGAACATGACTAAAGACTAGAAAATTTATAAGCAGAAAAATGCACCTCCTTAAGGCCCACCATGAATGCTGTCGCATCAAAGGATTAAGTTTCAACATGAAGTTTAGAAGGGATGCACTCAAACCTGTTGCTAGAACTCCTTAGGACTTGTGGACGCACAGATGATAAGTTTTACCGTCCCAAGATCAAGGCCACCTCAAGGCCACAGAGGTCAGCCAGGAGGTCCAGACTCCTTCCATATACACCTGCACTGTGGGCGGGGTCACGAGCACTGTGGAGCCGCCCAGACCTGGGCTTCAGCTCTAGAGCAGCCCAGGGCCTTGGACAAGTGATTTCACAGCCCTGAGCCATTCTCTCACCTGTGCGACAACTGGGCGACAAGAGCATGAGCTCAGACAGCACTATGAGACCGCATCACAGTGAGGGTGAAGCTCTTGGCTCACGGCGGTGCCTAGGAAATAAATGCCAACCTCAGCTCTCTAGAACAGGCTGTGCGTGCCCACCTGGTCACACACGGGGTGCCACCAGGAAGTCACTGACTCTGATTTTTCCAAGGCTGATTCAGCAGTCCCTCTCCCCCTCGGCTCAGCTCCAACCTGCCTGGTTCTCTCTGGCTCCAGTCTGAGAGCTCTCCTCCTGCCCCACTGCCTCCAGTGAAATCCAGTTCTGGCTGTTTATGGGCCATGACTCCATGGAAAGGTGGAATTTTCCAAGCTCCAGTCCCCCATGGCCAGCCTAAACTGGACCTCTCCACACCTGGGCCCTCCATTCCCTCCCACTGCCACGGTAGTAAGCGCTCCAAAATCGATCTGCAGCTGTTCCTCCCTGCTCAACAACCCTCAAGGGCTCCCTATCACCCTCAGGATCCAGTCCATACTCGTGTGTTAGACATTTAAACACCCTTTACCATCTGGTTCCAGTTTCAGCTCTGTGTTTCCACTCATGCTGCCATGCTCCTGCTCCCCAGCCCTCTTTGCTTCGTATCTCCCTACCCCAGTGCTTGGCCTGACCTGTCTCCTCCATAGCGCTTAGGCGGCAGAGTTTGTGACACTTTACTTGATGACCCTTTCAGCCCCACCTTGCAGCCTCTCCATAGGGATAAACTGCCGCATCCAGCAGGTCGGCAGCACACTTGGCATGAGCTTGGCATGAGCACCTAGCACCTAGGTTATAGTCAGGTGTTAGTGTCTGACCTCCCCATCTCGGTTCACGTCCTTCATCTCATCCTCGGACCCTGCTTTATCTTCCTTATGAGCCACTGGTAATTTATGCCTATTCCTTCTCTACTACAGTGTAAATCCCAGGAACAGGGATTGTGTTTTATTCACCTGTCTGCATTCCTGGTGCCTTCAAACAAAGCTGGGTAATATAAAAGCTGCTCAGTAAATGTTTGTTGAAAAAATGAATGAATGGGGGGCTGGGGATTTAGCTCAGCGGCATAAGCGCCTGCCTTGGAAGTAGGCAGTCGTGAGTTCGATCCCCGGTACCGATAAAAAGACAAAAAAAAGAATGAATGAGTGGCTGGCTGGCTGCCTGGATAAGTAGGTGGATAAATAGATTGATGAATGGATGGATGGGCGAATGGATGCGTGGATGCATGGATAGGTGTATGCATGCATTAGCTACGTGATCAGGGCCTTTCCAGAAAACTCAGTCAAAGCCAAGGGCAGATGGCCTGGGAGAAGATAGGGTCACTTGGGGAGGACATTAGTTGGGTGGAGGACCAAACAGGGGCGCTGATGTCCAGGTGGAGAAAACTTGTGGGAGACCCTGGGCAGATCAGGGAAGTCCTGGGAGCAGGAGAACCCAGGTCAAGTTTTGTCGCATCTCATTTACTGAGCACTGTCAGAGGTAAGTGCCTTAAACTCTCCGGGCTGTTTCTACATGAATAAAACTAGGCCCATGTTTAAAAAAAAAAAAATGGTTTTCAGGTGTGGTGGCTCACGCCTATAATCCCAGCACTCCACTCAAGAGGCTGAGGCAGGAGGATTGTTTCGAGTTCAAGACCAGCCTAGGCTACAAAAAGTAAGCTCAAGGCCAGCCTGAGCTGCCTTGAGCTCTGCACAGCCAGACCCTGTCTCAAAAAGACAAAAAAAAAAAAAAAAAAAGGTTACATCACTATGCTGTGAGAAAGATCAGGATGACAAAAGACACAGGGCTTTTTGTGGCAGTCTCTTGGGGGACAGTGGAGCTGGGAGCATTGCCCCCTGCCTTGGGCTTGTCCTCACTGCCTGGTGAGGCTTCTGGTTCAGCCCTTCAATCTGCAGGGCCAGGGCCAAGGTGTATGTGACCAACTTCCAGCCAGGGTTAGGTACATGGGGAACACACCAGGGTCACCTGCACTCCTCTACTGCAGCATTAGCTCACTGCCTGACTGTGGCACCTGCTGTGGCCAGGATCGCTGGGCCACGGGTCCGAGTCCTTCATTTTACAGTGGAAAGCTGAGTTCAGAAAGCCAGACAGACTTATCCAAGGACACAGGAGCAGATGGCTTCAAAGTCTGTTTCAGAGCCCAGGCCTCTGCCCTTCCACCCCGGGCTCTCTGCTCTACCCTGACGTGCAGCCAAGCTTTGTGACCAGTGACAAGCCTGTTCTTCAGTCGAGACTTCTTTCATGCGCCAGACACAGCGCTGGGTACTTTGCACAATGTGCCTCACTAAATCCTCACCGCGGCCTCCACAGTGCTGGTTCACAAATAGAGTAATCGAGACTCTGAGAGAAGCCAGTCCAGGATTCCAGTGATGTCTTCTATCTCAGAAGCATGTACACACAGAGGCCTCACTGTCTGGGGAGAAGCAGACACGGTAACAAACACTGACCACGGAACTCAGTCAGTGTCTTTTTGATGCAGTCTGAGGCCCAGTCGTTGCTGAGGCTGCCAACCTTACACCTCACGATGGTCTCTAAGAAGCTCCACACTGTTACCCCATTTCACTGATGAGCAAATGGAGGCCAACAGGCAATTTTCCAGACACCCCATCTGCCTCCAGAGCCCCTGAAGTCCTATGCAACCCTACTATGAGCCAAGCCCTGTCCTAGACACTCGGGGAGAGAGGTGGGGGTGGAAGAAAACAGGATGTGGCCTCTGCTCCCACCTCCAGTCAGCAAAGAAGTGAATTCAAGGCATGTGGGGGTTCTGCCCCCCACACCGTACTCTTGGGGACACTGACTAGGGGTAGGGGTTGGTGCTGGCCTAGCCCTCCATCCAAGGTCCTCTGTGCAAGGGAGGTTGTGACAGCCCAGACCCCAGGGCTGCCTGCCTTCTCCGCATGGCTCTGATTGACTGCCCACACCTGGCGGGGCCTCAGGCACCAGGCTGGAAATAGACGAGGAGGGACCGAAGTGGCACCTGCATTCTTGGCTGCTGCCCCGCCCCCGCGGGACCAGCCACAGCAACACGGAAGCCCACCTGAGATCTCGGGGCGTGGGGATGTCCTGGGCGCAGAAGCCCCGCCTGCTGGAAGGTGTCCCAGGAGCAGGAGGGTCACAGCACCAGTCAGCATGGCGTCCCCTCCCACACTGCTCTGAGATGGGGCCTGGCCCTTGCTTTGCATGTCTTACTCACCCCTCCCCAGGAAGTCGGACTGTGATTCAGCCCATTTAACAGATGAGGAACTAGAGATTCAGAGAAACCAAGTCACTTACCCCAGACCGCACAGCCCCTAAATTAGGCTACATGGACTTGCCCCAAGCTCCCCACCCATCTCAGCTCAAAAGGCTCCTTGTGGGTCACAGGGCAGCTTTCCAGCCTGCACCACCTTCCCCCTCTCTCTCCCTGCCTACTGCCCTGGAAAGTGGAAATCAAACCATGATCAAAAAAAAAAAAAAAATTCCTCTCTTTTCCTCCCTGTCTATCTCAACCCTGTCCAGCCTACAGCCCAAGTCTGATCAAGAAAGCTCCCTGCCTAAAGCCTGCCATGACTCCCCATTGCCCTCAAGGTAAAGCCTCTTCAAGGCTCTTTGCAGACTTGTCCCTGCTCACGTCTGCAGAGCCATCACTCACTAATCTCTCCTGGGACGAGTCAGGACACCTGGCAGGTGGCGACGATGACGCCTCATAGCCAGGAGCATGAGGGAGGCTGATGCATGCAGAGTGTCTGGCAGGGTGCTTGGCCGCCTCGGCTGGTGCTCAGTACCCTTCCTGCCTCCTCCCAGCTGCGAGCAGAGAGGGCCAGAGTAGCAGGGTGTGCACCGTCTCTGTTTCAGCCAGGCTGGGATAGAGGTTTCGTGGTGGCCTGGCTGCCAGGCCCTTGGTGTTACAGAGATTCATCATTTTAAGAGATTCTGAAACGTTGCAGGGCAGCAGTGGCTGGGACGAGGGCCAGGGGAAGTGGAGGCGCAAACGAAACCAACTTTCACAATAGGATCATTTTTGATCTTAACCACAAGCTCGAAGGTAGACAGAACACTATATAGAACAGGAGCCTGGCAAGTGTGAGGTTGTGAGTTCAATCCTCAGTACCAAAACAAAAAAACAAACAAACAAAAAACGGGAAACTGAGGTAGAGGCCCACCAAGAGAATCAGAACAGGCCTCAGTCGGAACCAGCTCTGCCAGGCTCCTTCCTCTCCTGCACCCAGCGCGCCCAAGCTTGGAGGACACAGAGGCAGCATCTGCTCAGGAGACAAGACACTGACATACTGCAGGGGGGAGAGGGGGCAAAGCCTGAGACAGGAGGAGTCTGGGTTTAGAACTCAAGACAGATGTGGGAGACAAGAGACAGTGACTAGCTGGGCGAGGTCACCAGGACGAGCAGAGAATCTGGTCTTGATTCTCAGAGACCTTGGCATTCAAATGCTTCCTCCTTCTCCCCACTTCCCAGAAGGGGAAACTGAGGACCCACACCTTGGCCAAAGCCTCCAAGTGCAGGGGGCAGTAAATGACTGGAGGAGGGCTGTGGGGAGACGGGGAGGAGGCCCAGGCTGGGCAGCAGCCACCATTTGTGGTCCCTCGCTTCCCGCCCCACGCCAGGCTTAGCCCAGCTGCCTGCCTCACAGGTGGGAGTGACTCAGGCTGGGGCTTGCACTGGTGGCCCTGGCCCCTCGGCCACAGCGAGCTCTGCGCCTCACAGCTGTGATGTCAGCAGGCCTTCCTTCCTCCCGCATCTGCTTGAAAAGGTCACCTATTTTAAACTCTTCCTCACCCCACCCTACCCTTCCCCCCAAAGAGGATGAGTTTTTCTAACCTGTGCCAGCAGCCCACCGGCTCCCCAGGGTGCAGGGTCCCTCCCTGCACACTTTGAATTTCATAGACATTCTGTGCAGTTGCTGCCTGCCACACTGCACTGGCTGAGGGCCCAGGGTCAGGTTTCTGTGTCTTTGTTTTTTATTTTTTCAATACTGATTATTGTACTCAGGGTCTTTGCACCCAGCTCATCTTCTAGTTTTGGTTTTTGTGGGGTTTTTGTTTGTTTGTTTGTTTTTTGAGACAGGGTCTTACTATGTTACCCAGCCTCTGCTGATACTTGTGATCTTCCTGCCTCAGCCTCCTAAGAGTTCTGATATTACAGGAGTGAGTGTACTTTCTGCCTTCTTGGACTTGATTTTTTTTTTTTAAATGCATGAATATGGGGTTGTGGATTTAGCTCAGTGGCATAAGCGCCTTCCTGGCAAGTTCAAGGTCATGAGTTTGATCCCTGATACCACAAAAAAATAAATAAATAATAAAATGCATGAATATGGTCCTGGGTTCCACCTCCAACACTGAAAAAAAAAAAAAAACCCCAAAATCAAACACACAAAAACTCAGATAACAGATAATTTCTGATGATACCTAGGTACCTTGAAGAAAGAAACATGTCAAGAAGATAGTGACCAAGAGTGGTGGGTAGTCAAGTAAGGCTCCTCCGAGAAAGAGACAGAAATCTGGGGAGCCGTGAGTGCCAAGGCCCTGGGGTGGAAATCGAGAGGTTATTAGAGCAATGGTTCTTAAAGTGGGGTTCCACAACCCACAGTGTTAGCATGGCCCAGGAACTGGTCAGAAACTTCAGTTCTCAAGAGCCAACTGAGACTTGCTGGAAACTCAGGAGCCAGGACCCAGCAAAAAGGGCTTTTAAAGCCTCCAGCTGATTCTGGTGCACTTCAAAGTTCAGAGTCACTGAGTAGCACTCAGAAAGGAAGCCCTGGGCTGGCATGCAGGAGGGTGAGCTGTGTCACCGCCTCATACCTCCATTCCCTCCATGTCCCCAGAGCCCTCAAATCAGAGCCTCCTAGAGAGGCTCAGGAGGCCCCAGAGACACCTGCCTTTCCATCCCTCGTCCCACAGAGCTCCTTCTCAACCTCACCTGTCTGGTTTCCACCTGCCCTGCAAACCATAACCCGGGACCCAGCCCTTGCAGGAAGCCCTCCCCGATTGCCTCAGCACAGTGAGGGGCCCTGCCATCTGCTTCCACATCATAGTTCACCACGTGGGCTTGACATTTTCTGGGAAGGAGAGGTGTTCAAGAAGTTACTGGGGGGTGGATGCTGAGGATGTAGCTCAGTAACAGAGCACTTGCCTAGCATGTGCGGATTTGATCCTAAGGGCCACATTCTAACTCACCAAATTTACCTCCAGCCACCCCTTTATCTAAGTCTCAATGCCAAGGTAATATTTGCCCTGCATCAATCATCCCAGGCCAGGCACTAGGGGGCTAGAGACTACATGTATTGCCTGGAGCCTGAAGCATCACGCAGCCAGGTCCAGTGATGCACACCTGTGATGCCAGCTATTTGGGAGGCTGAGGCAGAAAGACTGCAAAGGATTGCATGTTTGAGGCCAGCCCAGGAAACTTAGCAAGGCCCTGTCTCAAAGGAAAACAGAAACAGAAAAGGGCCTGAGGAATATATATATATATATATATATATATATATATATATATATAAAATATGAATGTACATTTATTATAAACACTATACAGATATACTGAAAGACCTCCTCCTTCTCTAACCCAACCCCCTTTTCAAACATAACTTGCCGCAAATTCAGTGTTCACCCACTCACACATACTTTGGGTGCACACACATAGGTGGACACACAGAAATGTAAGTTTCGCCTTGTTGCTTTCTTTTTCCGTGTGTAAATGGACCTGTTTGTTAGCTTTTCAGTCCCCGCCTCAGAGGTCATCTGTGGTGGAACATAAAGACCTACCTTGCTATTTTTAGCAATTCTTAGTATTCCAAAGTACAAATGCACTGTTGTTTTTAGCCACTGCCTGAATATATTAATCTTGTTTTTATTTTCTGCATCTGATGATGCTTTGACATCCTGGGTCCTTGCTGTGGCTAGAGTCACTGCCTTCTTAGGCTAGTTAATTCTTACAGATGATAAACACCTTGCCTGTGAGGTGCCTTTCACAGGGGTTCGGGGTGCTAGGGATTGAATCAGAACATTTTATCCTGAATCCTTTTCAAATTTTTAATTTGGAGACAGAGCTTCACTAAATCACCCAGGCAGGACTTGAACTTGCAATCCTGCCTCAGCCTCCCAGCTTACCAGCAGTGCAGAGGTACACCATTGAGTGTCTCATCCTAAACCCATCACTAACGTCCTTTCCTCCAACCAGCCCTCTCTCTACATCCCAAGCTAATATTTCCCCTGCTCTCAGTCACCCAGGCCAGGCACTGATGGACTGGAGACCACACAAACAGCCCAGAGCCCCAGCACCGTTATTTCAGCTATCCGACCCTAAACTGGCTTTACTTGGTCCCCTCCCTTGCCCAGTCTTTTCCACGGAAACCAAAGCTCGGGGCCACAGTCTCCTCTCACTGCTCCTGCCTGCTGACCCACCCTGGTGGTCACACTGTGGCCCTGCCTGCCATGGTCTCCACCCCACCCCAGGAACTGTGAGCAATAAACTTTTTTCACTGGCGTTCACTGTGTCATCACCTCCATAAATTAAGTCCCAGGCACAGCTAGAACACAGCGGCAGGGCTGGGCCTGCAGCTCAGTGGTAGAGCACACGTGTGACACTGCAAGACCTGGTCCCTCTCCAGCGCCGCAGAAACAGAACAAACGCAATGCACCCGGGGAGGACGTTCAGAGGTTTGCAACTTTCCCTGGTATGGAAAGCTACAGCAGCTCTCTTGGTAAGCATGTGTGTGTTTCTCCAGGAGGAGATCTGCCAGGCCACACTTGCTTAATTACTTATTGCTGTCTGTAGGGGTGCGGTGCCTCCCAAGTCTGGCTTCTGCTCCCCTCCCTTGTAGGTGTCATAGGAGCAACTAAGGCATCTCCAGGGGTGGCCTCTGCTTCGATCAATATCTCAGAGGCTCTGCATGTTAAACATCTTCCTCATCTGCAGACAGCCCTGAATTTTGAATTCCCTCCCCTGCAAGCCCTGGTCAGGAGCCACTTCCCCGGAGACAGCAGGACGTGTCAGCTGGGAAGTCAGTGTGAGTTCTGTCCAGGTGAGGCGTGGACGCAAGGGACATGGACTGGGGGCTCAGAAGATCTGTATGTGACTCTGTCTCTCCATCTTGGTTCCCTCACTTCCCAGAGCAGCAGTCACGATATATGAAACAATGTGAGGATGTA